GAACATCCTTATAGTTTCATCTGTGGCTATATTTGTAAATAAATTTCTAGAAATGGAATAAATGAGTCAAAAGTCATGTAAACTTTTAAGGCTTTTGATATTAATTGCTACATGGTCATAACCTCCTTCTGTATTTTAGTTCTTATTATCTGAATACAGAGGATACAAGTATAGAGTTCAGGCAACTGGGCTGATGAGCCTGACCCCAGACATATCTCGTGAATGACTGCCACGTCGGAGGGGGTGGGGAGAGAACTATTGATGGATCAATATCACTCAATGGGGCTGAAGGGCAGAGGAGACAGAAACATACAGAACTGCTGACATAAAGCAGGAGATGACGTAGCAGCTTCCCAAATGGAGGTGCAGCCTCCCAGGTCCCCACGGTACCACGCAAGGATGTAGAGCTGTGAACAGCCTCATCCGCATGGAGTGACAATCACCCCAGGGATAGGAAGTTGCCCTGGCCGTTCTCTGGGGGCTGTAGATCCTCCCTGCCCCTCTCCTGCTGTATACCCACCCGATCACCAGTGCTGCAGGGCAAGCCAACCACGTCCTGCAGGTTCACTCAGCATCACTTTCCCAGAAGCATCCTTCTGCAGCACCATTCCTGCAACCTGCAATTGACAGTTTTTTTAAAAAAATCAAAATCTCTATTTGGAGCTGATGTTGTTATTCGTGACTCCTTTCTTCTAAAAATCCCAGACCAGAAGGTAGCAATGTGTGCCATGTTCAGGGTTCCTGGATGGCTAACAGTGTTTGCCCATCTCTCTTAGGGCGTTGCTGGGCTCAGTGGAGAGACTGTGTTGAGAGGCAGCTGCTCCGCGCAGACCAGAGGGAGCTGGTGCTTGTACCGTCCTGCCTGCCGTCGCCCACCTCTGCTGTGACCCTGTGCCTGGCCGTCCTCAGAGGCCAGGAGCTGAAGAACAGGACAGAGTGGTGTCTCTACGTGTTGGCTCCCTTGGAACTCAGGCCTCGAGTCAGGTGAAGCACGTGGGCAAACTCCCCAGTGTTGCCATTCACTCATTCATTCATTAGTGATGCATACTGAGAGCCAACTCAGGCCGACACTGACTTAGGGGCAGGGCTTACAGTGGGGGCAAATCAGCTGCCGTCTCTGTTCTCACAGCGGTTGCTACCTGGTGACTGGGAGTCAGAGAAGGCTTCCCTCAGGAACTGGGGCTCAGCAGAGATGGGAAGGAGGAGGAGGAATTAACTTGGCCAGGGAAAGGGAGGTGGAAGGGGAACAGAATGGCAAAGGGAGGGAGCAGAGAATAATCAGGAGGTGAAAAAGGCTGTGCCCTCGAGTATAGAGAAGAGGAGAGGGGCAAGAGGAAGCTGGAGGAGTAGGCAGGGCCTGGCAGGTCATGTCAAAGATGCTGGTCTTTTTCTTAAGAGTTCTATAGAGAAAGCCATCCAAGAGGCCTAAGCAGGTGGGGGACATTGTTTCAATGCTCTGGTAGCAGGACGAGGGTAAGTGAGGACTCAGGGAGATCACGTCGCCTCTTGCAGGAGTCAAGGTAAGAGGTCAAGTTTGCTTGGCCTGTTGGCCGATCCCTGCAGGAAGCAGATGACTCGTTCAAACCAGGAATGATTAGAGTTGGATGCAGGGTCTATTTACACGTGTGGGCAGGGACAAGGGAATGAACCAGGGGTGACAATGCAGGGATACAACAGGCGGAAGCCATTATCGCTCCTGGGACTGCAGAGGAAAGAGGGGGAGGTGGTGCTGTTGGAACCTCCTGGGAACCTTAACTGCAGGAGAGGGACTTTCCGACAGGAGCTGTGGCCTTGGCTGGAGGGAGGGAGAGGTGGACACATACCCAGCCTCTCTCCTCTCACCCTCCAGTCCTCACTGCTTCCATTGGCTGGACCCAACCAGACGCCAGAGGGTGCAGGAGCTTGGGTGATGCCATCCACACAGATCAGTCTCCTAGGGCACAGAGCCACAGAGAATTTGTGAATGGTCCAGAGGGGCAAGTGGAGATCGTCCAGCTCACTTGTGCCAGAACAGACATGATGAGAGAAGTAGGAAGATTCTGGAGCTATTATGATGTTAAGACCAAAAGGACCTGGGGGTAGATTGGACAAACAGCGGATGCCAAAGTGACCTGTCATTGGCTCAAGGAAGGGAATAGGACATTACAGAGAAGGTCCAGAGTTCCAATCCAGACACACTGGTTCATGTTCTATCCACCCACTTAAGAGCTGGGTCAACTGGGACAAATCACACAAGCTCTCAGAGCCTGGTTTGCTCATCTGTGATATAGGGATTCTGACACATCACCCGCCGGGCTGTCGTAAGCATCAGATAATCTAATAATAATGGAAATCATTTAGGCATGGCATGTCTGCTATAAAAGCATAGCATTGGTTTATTATTATCAGAACTAATATTATTAGAATCATAGAAATTGTCTGGTCTTATCCCCTCACTTTGCAGGGGAGGAAACTGAGGCTCAGAGAGTTTAAGTGGCTTGTGCAAGGTGATCATTCATAAGCGTCACTGTAGGATTCAAACCTAGGGCCCTGTCTCTGCTCATGCACTTCTCATATCATTACCCCCATGCAGTGACTGAAATGGGAACTCGGTCAGGCTGCAGATCACTTCACCTTCACGGCCAGGGCTATGTTCCAGTTTTGATTGGAGCAGGGGCAGATTTTACATTACTTTTCATTCAAAAAAAGGCCATTTCCTACCTTAAAGAACTTGAGAAGAACTGGGCAAGAAACCAGGCCAGTGGTCGTGATGCCTGAGAGAGCTTCCTTGCTCCATCCTCTCTCTCTCCCTTTCAGTTGCGAGAAGAACTGTGGGCCAGTGAATGCTGATGAAGATGTCCTGCTCAGGGTCACCATGGGAGACAACTCACCAGTGGCCACATTCAGCTGGTATATAGATGACACTTCGCCAGAGAAGGTGAGGACCGTGACAAACACTCAAAAACGGAAGCCTTCTCCTTTGATGGACCAGACCTGTGTCACATGCCTGGTACTGAGCCAGGGTCGGGTCCGCTCTACTCAGAGTGGCAGGGGGAGGGCGTTCCCCAGGCAAAAACCAGGAACTCTCGATCAGGAGGAAGAACAGATACAAGGAAGCAAAAGCCCTGGGGAGACACTGCAGCAGATGCTGTAAGGCCCCTGCCGAGTCCCCTTTTCCAGGCTGATGCACCTGCCCCCAGCTGCTAGGGGGTTACCGTTGGCCAATAACTGCTGGACGTGGGGGTCTAACAGCCCCACCTCCTAGCCCCTGAGTGATGCGATTTCTCTATGCGACTCACACTCCAGAGCTCCCTATGGGACCAGGCTGAGGCTGTTCACCTCCCGAAACCTCTTCTCTGCCTTGTTTCCTTCTGTGCCTGGTTCTGCCTCCCTCCCTCCCTCCCCGCTAGATTCCGCTGGGAGCCCTCCCTCAATAAATGACCTCACCGGAATTGCAAATCCCGAATCCCGTCTCAGCCTCTGCTTCTAGGGAGCCTGACCTAAAACAAACACCTTGACAAAGCTGGAGATTGGCTATGTCAGCTGACCTCTGGGAAGCTGGTGGGGCCTGCCATCCGTTTGTCAGAGATGAATCTGAAAGGCCTCTGAGGGGTCAGGAGCTGCCATCCTGCTGAGGTCCAGTGGCTTGACCTCGGGGGCCCTGGGCGGTGCTCTCTTTCAGGCTGAGCACCTCCCGGATGTGTGCAGACTCTCAGGCTTTCGGCCAAGCTCTCTAACCCTCCTTCAGAGCAACACATCCACGCTGCTGCTGAACAGCTCCCTCCTGCAGACCTGGGGAGAGGTCATCCGAATCAGAGCCACAGGTGTGAAGCCTCCCTGTCATCTCCTGTCATAGAACCAAGACAAACCCAGAAAAGCTAAAACAGGCATATGTGTAGCAGGGGGCATGTACAGGCTCTGGTGTGAATCCTGCCACTGCCACTTTCTGTCTGGGAGACTTCAGGCAAAGGATTTAAGCTCTGCATGCCTCAGTTTCCTTACATGTAAACTGGGGATACTAAAATTGCCTGCCTCAGAACTGTCATTCTGCAGGGTGACTGACATCACATCAGTGGTACAAGCAGGTCATCCTGGGGCCGTGCAGCCTGCATGTCCTGTTGGGAAATTCAGAGCTTCTCATTTAAAATAAGCTCAGAATAGGAAATGTAGATTCTCAAAAAAGATGACTAATGGGATGATTATTTCTTTTTGGAAACATTCTTTTGATGCTATATTTCCCAAAGTGGCCTATAGACCATCCCCACCAGGATAACGGAGGTGTGGTGGGGGGGGCGGGTTACTAGTTAAAAAATGCACACCCCTGGGTCCTCCCCAATCCTTCTGATTTGAGTCTAGGCCAAGGAATTAGTTTTAATTGATTAAAATTCTCTCTACCCCCAGCTCTGTGCACTCTTTTTGAAAAACTAGGTGGCTATACCAGATAATGCAGGAAGTTGTTGCAGGCCAACTAGGGGCTCTTCACGTTGTCGTAGGGGCCTGGAAAGAGGGGACTTTGGGTGGGATCAGCCTGTTTCCAGATCCTGGCTCTGGCCCTTCCTGGCTTCAGTGATTTTGAGTAAGTCAGTATTTCCCAATATACTTCCGTTTTATGAAATCCCTGTCAGGAAGCTATTATGATTAGCCCCATTTTACAGATGAGGAATTGACTCTCAAAAAGGTCAAGTCCAAGGTCACTTGACTAGTGAATGGCAGAACTGGGATTCCAGCTCAGCTCTGTCTGATCCCCTTCTTCTATCTCTGCCCAATTTCTCAAAGTGAGACCCTGGGTCCTCCGCATCAGGGGGAATTGTTTGGCATGCAAATTCCTGGGCCCATCCCAGAATATCCAGAGAGGTCTGAGGCTCTGGGTCCAGAGAGGGGCCTGGGAATGTTCTTGTTTAACAAGCTCCTTCGATGATCCTGAAGTGCAGTGGAGTTTGTGTGAATCACAGAGCCCCTTTATTAGTCCATTTCTGTTGCTTATAGCAAAATACATGAAACTGGGTTATTTGTAAGAAAATGAAATGTATTGCTTACGGTTTCTGAGGCTGGAAAGTCCAAAGTCCAGGGAAAACATCTGGTGAGGGTCTTCTTTGATGGTGGCTTTACAGCAGTGCAAGAGTCTTGTATGGCAGAAAATGGCAGAGCAGAGAGAGAGCTTCTCATGTACTATCCTTTTAAAGCCCTCAGAACCACGCCCATGACCACCATTAAACCATCACCTTAATCAGCCCTTCAAAGTCCCAGCTTTTAATTACCATAATAGGATTTCCCACCCTCAACAGTTACAGTGAGGGTTAAGTTTTGGGGGGACATTCAACCCAAGGCAGCCCCCTAAGCACATTCTGTCTTCGCTCCTCAGCACTGACCGAGCACGCCTATGGGGAGGACACCTACGTGATCAGCACTCTGCCTCCCCCCGAGGTGCCCGCCTGTGCCATTGCCCCAGAGGAGGGCACTGTTCTGACGAGCTTTGCCATCTTCTGCAACACCTCCATGGCCCCAGGACCCGTGGAACACTGCTTCTGTCTGGAATCAGGTACTAGCTGAGGACTCTGCTCTCTCCCCAGCTCCTGGGCTCATTCTCTCCAAGAACAGGGGCCTGTCTCTCACCAGGAGCTGCAAAGGACATGCTCCATGTGAGAGAGGTTGACAGGATGAGGGCTCCCCTAAACCTCAACTCCTACCCCCAAGGCACTGACCCAGCCATCATGCCACAGAGAGAAGAAAAGCAGGTCCCAACAGGAGCTCCACCACAACTATGGAGGCCCAAATGACCTCTGTCCTGGCATGAGGGACATTGACAGGATGGAGTAGATGAGGATACCCAGAAGTGTGACCATGTGGGGCCACTACCAGGACACATCCCCCAACACATACGCTCGGAGTAGCTGACACCCTTGGAAATCTGGAGCTACTCAGGAACACAGAGATGAGTCTGGAATCTTCAACCATTGTATCGACCCTGCCTTGCGAGTGACAGCAGGCAATGGGTGATACTGCAGAACAAGCTGAGCTGAAAGGAGAACATTTTTGCAAAAGTTTACAGGTGATAAACACGGAAGACCCCATCCACATTGCATAAAACCCTATGCAGTCTCCCCATTGCCACCATAACGACCCATGCCCTGGGACAGCAGCAGCAGGGTGTCAGCTGGGGAGATGGCAGCGCAGCCCACGTTGACTTACTCTCCCATTTTTTTTTTTTTTTTGTCTTTTGTCTTTTTTCCGTGTCCGGCAACGGATCGCAACCCTCGGTGTTG